TTTTTTTTTTTTTTTTTTTTTTTTGGTATTCTTAGTAGAGACGGTATTTCTCCTTGTTGGTCAAGCTGATCTCCAACTCCTGACCTCAGGCGATCTGCCGCCTCAGCTTCCCAAAATGTTGGGATTACAGGCATAAGCCACTGAGCCCTGCCCTTATGTTTTTAAAAACAAAGTGGGCTGGGCCAGGTGGCTCACACCTGTAACCCAGCACTTTGGGAGGCCGAGGTGGGTGGATCACCTGAGGTTGGGAGTTTGAGACCAGTCATGCCAACATGGTGAAACCCCATCTCTATTAAAAATACAAAAAATTAGCTGGACGTGGTGACACATGCCTGTAATCCTAGCTACTCGGGAGGCTGAGGCAGGAGAATCTCTTTTTTTTTTCTCTTCTTGGTTCTATGAGAAATTAATTTTTATTTTATTCTTTTTTTTTTTTTGAGACGGAGTTTCGCTCTTGTTACCCAGGCTGGAGTGCAATGGCGCGATCTCGGCTCACCACAACCTCCGCCTCCTGGGTTCAAGCAATTCTCCTGCCTCAGCCTCCTGAGTAGCTGGGACTATAGGCTCTCACCAGCATGCCCAGCTAATTTTTGCATTTTTTTTTAGTAGAGACGGGGTTTCACCATGTTGACCAGGATGGTCTCAATCTCTTGACCTCGTGATCCACCCGCCTTGGCCTCCCAAAGTGCTGGGATTATAGGCGTGAGCCACCGTGCCTGGCCATCTCTTATACCTGAGAGGTGGAGGTTGCAGTGAGCCGAGAATGCACCATTGTATTCCAGCCTGGGCGGATGAGCTCCGTTTCAAACAACAAAACAAAACAAAAAAAACAGTGGAGTTGGGCATGGTGGTGCATACCTGTAATCCCAGCACTTTGGGAAGGTTAAGAGGGCAGATCACGTGAAGCCAGGAGTTCAAGACCAGCCTGGCCAACATGGTGAAACCCTGTCTTTACTAAAAATTCAAAAATTAGCCAGGTGTGGTGTCACACACCTATAATCCCAGCTACTTGGGAGGCTGAGGCATGAGAATCACTTGAGCCAGGAAATTGCTGCCACTGCACTCCAGCCTGGGTGACAGAGTGAGACCCTGTTTCAAAATAAATAAAAAGTTGCATAGTGGGTTATTTGTGCATTAAAAGCATAAGTCTTGTTGCTGTACTTTTTCAGATGAATTCACAATCTCACATTTCTACAATTTTTGTTGGATGTGTAGAGGAAAAATAAGGGAAAGCATGGCTAGCATGTCAAGTCCATGTAGAGGTGGGGGTATGACAAAAGAGTCACTTTGTCATAGAAAAAAATAAGCAAGAGAAATTTCAGATTGAATACCATTAAATTTCCAGACAATAAAAATTGGTCATGAGTGGACTAGAGGCTCCAACCACAGAGATATTTCTAGACCCAGCTGGCAAAAACAGGGCATTTCACTGTGGTAGATGTACCTTAATAGTGGCTGAAAGATACCTGAACAGGTGAAAGTGGTATTTCATTGCAGCCACTCTGAGGATTTCTCCTTTCACAATTGATCAAATCTTTTTTTTTTCTATAAGCTACAAAGAGGACTTGAGGTCTTTTTGCTTACTTGTTTATACCCTGACTGAGTAGATGCTGCCTACCATTATTTGAGGAATTTTTTTAACATGAAGAAATTTATTCATTGGAACATTTTGTGATAATCTTTTGAGTTCACATAATCAGCTGGCTTCAGAATGAGGATAATTTGCTTTTATTAACTGTTTACATCCTTATGTTTTCCTCAAGAACCATTAAAATTTAATGATCTCTATACTTAAGTGAATGGATATAGAATTATTTAGTTTGACTTTCAGAAGGTTTGCATTTTAGCCAAAGATTAAATTCTAGCTGCCCATGCCATGATTGCTTTTTGAACACAGAGAAGTTACTTGATGTTATTGACTAGAAAAAAAAAAAAATGATACAGCCAGATTGTACCTCTGGGCAAATTACCCTGTGGGATTCAGTTTGTTTAGAGACCACACTGATAGGAATGAGGAATGCTGGGTATGGTACTAACATCTAATGAGGGGCCTGAAAGATTTATGAGCTATTAGGAGCTATAGCCGCATCTGGCCAAATTTTAGAGTTTTTCTCAATAGAGAGTTACAAAATCTTCTGGAACAGTCCAGTATCATATCTATCTGGAGACTGCTGCAAACAAATAGCTCTTTAGTTCTTGGTAAGAGCAAAGAATATTGGGCCATATTTCTGGCCCTTAAGAAATGTGGAGTCTGATTCCATTTGGCTGGAAGTTTAATTTGGTATGGAATTTTAGCCAGACTTCTAGGGGAAATAATTTTTCAAAAATATAACCAAAACTTATTGCAAAAAGTGATGTGCATTTGGTCTATCTGTTCTATTAAAGGTCATTTAAACACTTTGTAAATATTCACAGTACTGTTTCCAGCAGCATGTAGTACTTGCTTGATCTTTTTGTTTCTGAATTTGTGGCCATGAACCTTTATGTAGAATTGGGGGAAACTGATTGTAGTCTGCTGTTTATTTAAATTGCAGGTAGTTGTCTAACCAACTACCAGTGATGTTTTTTCCTTTCTCTGGAAGTTATTGTATAATTCGCCTTTTGGAATATGGCACCTTCTGTTGTGTACAGAGCACTGTACCACTCTAGACACTTCATTAGAACAGAAATAGAAAATAATTTGATATGAAGACACGGTAGTATAGGAACAATTGACTTATGCAGGCTGAAAGAAGCCTTAAGCTTGGCAAAATGATACCCCAAATGCAGGGTGTGATATCAGTTCTTGAATATTTGAGAGATGGAAAGACCAAACAGGGAAAGGAATTATTTTGCTTAGTTATTAGAAGTAAGGGGAAGAAATATAGAAAGAGAAATTTCAGACTGAATACCATTGAATTTCCAGACAATAAAAATCGGTCATGAGTGGACTAGAAGCCCCAACCACAGAGATGTTTCTAGACTCAGCTGGCAAAAACAGGGCATTTCATTGTGGGAGATGTACCTTAACAGTGGCTGAAAGATCATCTGAACAGGAGAAAGTGGTATTTCATTGACAGCCACTCTTGAGGATTTCTCCTTTTGCAGTTGATCAAAGCCTTTTTTCCTTCTATATGCTAGAAAGAGGACTTGAGGTCTTTTTGCTTGTTTCTACCCTGACTGATTCATAACTTACTTTAGAAGAAACATGACGTACCTTTGGAAGAAACCATCTTCCAAAGAAATGAGTATTCAAAAGCTTCAAGTTTTTGTAGTATGAAAGCAGTCTGAGTTTGTTTTTTGTCTTTTTTTTATCCATTTTTATTTAGGTTAAGGTAATAGCTAGTTGGCTGGCCACAGTGTGGGAGACAACTCTTACCGGAGTTAGAACCTGAAGACTGAGTTTGAATTCCGACCCAAGCACTCATTAGCTGAGTCACCTGAGCAGGTTGCAAATGCTCCCTGAGCATCCCTTTTCCAAAATGAGTGGGCAATAATACCATCACGCTTGCTGTGAAGATCAAGTGAAACTGTGTGTGGGAAAGTGCTGTGCCAGTTTTAGTTATTAATGTTTGTACTCATTTTCTATTGTTGCTGAAACAAATGATCACAAAGTAGGGATCACAAATTTATCATCCCACAGTTCTGTAACCTAGAAGTCTGGTTGGGTTTGACTGGTTTCTTGGCTCTGGGTCTCACAAGGCTGAAGTCGAGATGTTTCCACCCTGGTTTCCTATCTGGAGGCTCCCACGTTTGTTCAGATCCTGGGAGAATTCAGTTTCATGCAGCTTGTAGGACTGAAGTCCCTGTTCCCTTCCTGGCAGCCTAGGGGTGTTTCATCTTCTGGGGGCTGCCTTATTCCCTAGCTTATGACCCCCTTCCTCTTTAAAGTTAGTCAAGTCCTTCTCATGTTTCAGATCTCTCTGACCTCTTCTGCTTCATTTCCCCTCCCTCCAGCTAGAGAAAGTTCTTGGTTTTGTGGGGCTCATGTGATTAGATTAGGCCCACCGAGATAATCCAGAATAAACTCCCTAATTTGAAGTCCATAACCTTAATTACATCTGCAAAGTGCCTTTCATCATGTAACATATTCAAAGGTCTTAGGGATTAAGGTATGGATATCTTTGGTTGAGGGGGGCGGCATTCTGCCTATCACAGTGGTATTTTAGGGTGAGAGGGGGAGCTTACAGAACATGAGATTCTTGCCCTGGAGGACTCACAATCCAGTGGAAGAAGGAGGAAAAACACAATACAGCAAGAAATTCTGTATTAACAAAGAGTCTGTACGAGATGTTGCAGGAGCCCAGGAGACTCCCTGTGTACTTGACTGGAGACTCCTGTGTACTTGACTTGGAGGTTTTTTTCATTATTCTCTTCTTGTTCCCTAATGAGTCTTGCCTTTCATCAAGATCTTTCAGATGGAATTCATATGCCCCAAACACCACCATGTGATTTGATTCCTTAAATGTCCAGAAAATCAAGCTGCTGCTGTAGCTCAGTATTTGGGACTGTACTGCTTCATAAGGTCTTCAGCCCACAGCTCAAGCTAGGAGGAATTATTTTCTTCTCTGACGATGAGGTATAACAAGAGCTTGTTGCTCCTCGGCTCCCGTTTTTCATCATCAACCCCCACCGAGAGCCTTATTGTTCTTTACTCCTAGCTCTGTCTACTGTGTGTATGTCTTTTCTCCCTCCTCTTCGGAATGTTCTTGTTTCTTATTGTTTTGAATTAGAAGGCACTTGTCCTGGGCAGTGCAGGGGTTTCTGTTTAATTCTTGCCATTTGTCATTTCTAGTTTAATAATGTTTCCTGGCTATTTGGTCAGGTCTGGGTGATAGTTTTGTAGTAATAGCTACCATTTACCGAGCACTTACCATGTGCCAGGTACTATGTAAAGTTCTGTACTTGCATTTTCCAATTTGGACACACTGTGAGGTGTAGGTACTATTTTTCTATTCATTTGAACCTAGCTAGGATTTGAACCAAGCTCCAACTTTAAAGCTTGTACTTGACACTATGTAGTTCAGTAATATCAAACAGGAGCTGAAATGGAGGAGCAGCATGAAGGAACTGAAGCAGCACAGGTAGATTCAGGAAACCTCAATTTCAAACTCTGCCTTTACAATCCTTCTGAAAGAGGATTTGCTTCTAGAGCACCAAGATTGCCTCCATTTTTCCACCAGAGACACTCAAAGTGATTCCTCCTGCAGCTGTGCCAACCACAAAGCACATATGGGCATTGGCTGAGCATTCCACAGAAGAGCCTGTTTCTCTGGGAGGTGGTGAGGACTGGGTGTATGGTGTGCCATGTGGCTGGCCCCTGAAACACCCTGGCCCTAGCAGTTATAGGTAGAGAGAGTATCTTCCCCACAAGGTTAGTATGAATATTTTAAGGATTTAGGATGGTGCCTGTCACTTATTAGGCACTCAATATGCTCTGGCTCTCATTGTCCTAGAAGGGTTTTAGTTCGTGGGTATTCAAGTTAGCAGAATCCTGTCCTTTTAGCTCTACTTGAATCTAGGCTCAATGTTCAGGAGAAGACATGAGATGCATCTCTGTGTTGGTCCAGGTCCAATGCTGTGAATCATACCAACTCTTGTTAAGTTTGAGCTCTGAAAAGGCTGGAATTTGAGGCCAAAGAAGGCAAAATATTTTCCCCCCCGATTCTTGCTAAGTTCTTGAGTTATTGGCATAATGGAAACAGAAAGTCCTAGGTTCAAATCCGGCTCTACATTTGCCTGTTCAAGTTACCTGCCTGTTTGCACCGTGGGAAGAACTTGGGCTGTGGAGGAGGGTAAACCTGGGTTCAAAATCCCAGCTTTGCAAATTAATGGCCATTTTACTCAGTCACGTTTCCTTTCTGAGGCTCTTTTCTATAAAGTGAGGCAGCAGCAGTTCTTCCGTTGCAGAGTTGTGAAGGCAGAGCATAACGCATGTGGTATAACCAGGCTGCCATGGGGGTGCAGCCAGTGAAAGGTCTGGAGCTGCTTTACAGGGGCCATTCATTCATTCAGGTTTAGGTTGAGCAAGGGGGCCCACCTGTGACTTGTATCCTTCTCCCTCTCCAGTGGAAGGGCAGCCAGGTGAGGCAACTGTGGGTACCCTGCCCACAGCCAGAGCAGGTAAGGGGAAGAGGACTGCTACACAGTGGAAGTGCCAAGTACCACCTAAGCCCAGCCCCATTCCTGTTCCACTGCTGAAGCCCCTGGCGCCAGACAGTGTTGCTTCAGCTGGTAGTAGTTAATGCTCCTTTACTTGGAAACATTTTCAGCTCCTGGGAGCAATATGGTGGCGTGAGGGCTCACTGATCACCCGCCCTGTTTCTCTGTGACTGGGATCTGCATGCCCCCGACTCCGGCCCAATTTACCATTCTTCAAGGCTCACCAGCCTGTGGGCCCAGGGCCAACAGGGATGGGAGTGGAGGGTGGGGTGGAGCGTGGGGAACTTTTCCGGGAAAAGGCCCAGCAGGGTCTTGGCTGGCGGCCCCGTTAGCCACGGCCCAGGACCCCAGGGTGGGGGAGTGAACAGAAAGGTACTCTTGCCTGGAGCGGTTGCAACATCCTCCGTAATGAGGAAGATACAGCTCAGAGGCACTGGGTGGAAGGACCCCTCTTCCTGGCCCTCCTTTCAAGTGTCGGGGCCTAAAGGGGGTCCAGTTCCAGTGCGGAAGGCTGGGAACTAGGAAGCGTCGCGGACCAGACAGCCCGCCTTCCTGGACTCCCGGGTGGGGGTTCGGGGGCGTGGTGCGGCTGCCGGGGCTGAGAGGGGTCGGTGCGGCGGCTCTGCCTCCCGGGAAGTGGGGCCCGGCCAAGTCCTGCGCTGGGAGGGGGCAGGCCCTCTCCTGCCCGCGCCTGGGGGGACACTACGCCTATGTCCGGAGGAGGCCGGCGTCCAGCAGATGCTCGCGGGGGGGTGGGAAGTGGGGGAGGGGGCGGGAGAGAGGCGGGGAAGAGAAAACCCACAACAAAACTTGCGTCGCGGAGCGCCCTGCTTGACTTGAATGGAAGGAGCCCGAGCCCGCCGAGCGCAGCTGAGACTGGGGGAGCGCGTTCGGCCTGCGGGGCGCGGCACGGCGCCGGGGCGCAGCAGGTACAGGGCGCGGGCGGCCGGGGTGGGCCGAGGGGCTGGGGGCTGAGACCGGGCAGCGCTCTCAGACTTCCCCGCCTCTCCGGATGGCTCCAGCAGCTGCCTGGGGCGGGGCCCCCGCATCTCACCAGCTCTGTAGGATCCTGCACTGAAGGCACAGCCGCAGATCTCCTCCTCTGGGGTGCGACCCCAGCGCAGTCACGACCCAGGCAGGGGCCTTCTCTTCTGAGCGGAGGCTGGTCCCGGTCCCCAGGCCCCTCCCGCTGCACACATCTGGAAAGAATCTGAGGGCGGATGGGGGCGGGGGCTGGAGTAGGAGGATGTCGCGGGCGACAGGGAATGTGGGGGGCAGGTGGAACTGTGCAGGGTCGGGGACCCCCGTCATGAGTGCTCTGACCCGGAGTATCTCCGCGTCTTTCCACGTCAACCAATCCGGCCCCTAGCAAGTCCAGCTTCCGACCTCTTTACAGATAGAGAAACTGAGGCCCGGAGAGGCGCAGAAGTTTGCCTCCGGGGCTCGGCTTCCCCGGCCACAGTGCCGCCCCAGCTTAGCGCCAACCACTAGCTGAGCCAAAGCTCTCAGCTGGCGGCCTGGAGTCCGTCTGTCTGTCTACGCGGCTGCTTCCCAGCCGGGACAACTGGACGGAGTAGGGGGTGAGGATCCGCGAACCACGAGGAGCGAGGTCAGCGCCTTCCTGCGAATGCAGCGGAAGCCCCAGGTTGCAGGTCTCCGAGTCACAGCCCGGCCAGGGGCTGGGGACGAGATCGTGGCGTTGAATACCTGACGCGCCGTCAGGTGGAAGAAGAGGTGGTGGCGGGGCGGCGAGGCTCCTGGCAGCCTCGGGGCTGGGGCTAGGAGAGGCAGCCGCAGCCTTCTGGAAAGGAGCGGGCGCGGCCGCAAGGGGCGAGCGCCCTGTCCCGGGTGCGCGCGTCACTGACTGATCCTGTCCGGGAGGCGCGGAGGATGCGCGCCCAGCGCTTCGAGTGAATTTACGAACCTGTAGGGCCCACACAACCTGAGCTGCGAAGTCTGCCCTTGGAATACCGGCTGGCTAGGGAAGGGGAAGCTGTGGTCTACCCTGCTCCAAGAGGCACCACCACTGGTGTGAACTGGGAGAGCCCCTGGGTGTTCCTGTCCCCTATCCCTCTCTTATATAGAAAGCTTCCACACTGGGAAGGCAGCGGCGAGGCAGGAGGGCTCATGGTGAGCAAGGAGGCAAGACGGTCTGCAGGCGCACAGCGCTCTGGGGTAGGTCACTCAGAAGAGCCCGTGGACAGCCCTGGGAAAGACGAGCGGGGACTGGTCTGGGAGTTCTGCTTCCTCATGTCCACTCTTAGGGCCCAGGACCCAGTCTCTGCTAGCCTAGAGGGCAAGTTAAGAAGTGCCAAAGTCATAGGACTGTGTTCATGTCATCTGTGGGAGCATACTTTATCCCTTCTGCCTGAGTCTAGGGAAGGGGATTACTAATGGTGGCACTTTTAGGCTTGGTGGAGTCATACATGAGAGTGCTGACTGTGACCTGCTTGGAACTCTCAATGAGTCCCTGTCATCAACACTAGCATGGCGGTGGATGCCCTTGGCCACCTAGGCTTCCCACCCTGTTGACCCTTCCTTAAACACACCTCCCTCTCCCCCAGCCCCACACCTGCCTTTTGGTCACACCCTACCTCTGCCTAGAGGGCTGTTTCTGAGAACCCCTGCTCAGTCTTCAAGACCAACCCAAGGCTCTGGGCAGGCTTTTACTCTTGGCCTTGACTTTAACACACTAATTTGCAAACTGGAGGAGTCAGAGCAGATCATATTGCAGATCTTTAGATCTTTTCCAACTCTGCCTTTCATAGTCATTCATTCAGCAAGCATTTCCTGAGCACCCACTCCATGCTTGGGGAGACAGGGCAGGTTCAGCTGAGCCTTGAAGGATAAAGCTGGGCAAAGTTGCTGTGGAAGCACCCAGAAACACCCTAACCCAGCCAAGGGGGCAGGAGAGTCTTCCCTGAGCAGGGGCATTTGAGTAGGAGCTTTCTAGGGATGGCAGCAATGCCAGCCCTTTGTGCTTGAGCAAAATCTGCAAAACAGGAAGACGAACACTTAGTCCCAGGATTTCTATGACAGTCAGTGAGATGCAGCTGTTTGGGGCCCAGCACAGAGCAGGTGGTCAGTTGGTTTGCACTGAGTTTGAGTGGAGAAGGAAGGCAGTGCTGGGGCTGAGGGTCCGCCTCTTGATTTGGGTCTCCCTTCCCCTTCCTTCTTCTAGTCCTACCTTCATCTCACTCTTTGGCCTTGAGGTTTGGTTCCCTGGTGGAGGTGGGGGGAGACAGCGGGTCCCCCTTACTTTCTCAGTAACAGTAGCAGTAACCCCGGGTATGTCACACTTACTTGTCACCCAGCGATGACAGCTGGGCCTGCTATTTCATTTAATTCTCACAAGTAGCTCCCAACTCCATTTCTTAGACTAGTAAACAGAGGCTTGGAGCAGCAAAGTGACTCATCCGGGCTTACACAGCAGTCAGAATTGGAACTCATGCCCTTCTGCCTCTAAAGTGCTCCACATGAGGAAGAGCACACTGCTCGCTGAGCTGCCCCACTGTCCAGGGGTTTGAGTTGTTCCTTACAGGGTGCACTTGAAACTCCTGGAGACCAGGGAGCTCCCCTGTTCTTCCCCACACACCTTCCACATGACTGGGTACACAGAAGGGGACTCACTGGGCCGGGAAAGGGGAAGTGGGCTTATCTTGCTCCATTCTTAGAATAACAGGGCTGGGTACAGTGGCTCACACCTGTAATCCCAGCACTTTGGGAGGCTGAGGCAGGAGGCCAAAAGTTCAAGAACAGCCTGGGCAACATAGTGAGACCCCATTTCTAAAAATAAAACATTAGCCAGGTGCCAGGTATGGTGGCACGTGCCTATAATACCAGCTACTTGGGAGGCTGAGGTGGGAGGACCACTTAAGCCCAGGAGCCCAAGGCTGCAGTGAGCCATGCTTGTGCTGTTGCACTCCAGCCTGGGTAACAGAGTGAGACCCTGACTTAAAAAAAAAAAAAAGAAACGAACAAGTGGGAAAACTGAGACTCAGATGGGTCAGTGGTATGGCCAAGGTGACACAACAAACCAGGTAGTAGGGCTGGACCTGCCCAGGACCTCTCAGTCCTGAGAGTGGCTGGCCAAGCTGGAGGGACCACTCTCGAAGCCCTGTCTGTTCTTCCTACCTCTCCCTTTACTCCAATTTCTCCTCTCCATCCCTGCAGTCCAGCACCTCTCTCTCTGCCAGGGTCCGGCCCCTTTGCCCTCACTTGTCCCAATTGCACAGCCTCACGTCCACCCACAAACTTGCCTGTGTCACGTTCCTGCCCTTCAGTGGTCCTCGTCTTCCAATGAGAAGGCCCACACTGCCTAACCTGGCCTTTACGTGGCCTGGGCTTGTGGCCACTGTGCCTGTTTGTATCACTCCCAGTCCCTATCCCCCACCAGATGGTCTTGTGGGTGTGGACTGTCTTGCCTCTGGGACTCCCTTGCTTGTGTGACCCTTTCCCTTTTGCCTGAAAGTTATCCCTTAGAATGGGATTATAATACTGGGCTTACATGTAATGCTGCAGACCAGCACTGTTTAATAGAAATATTATGTGAGCCACAAATGCAAGCCACATATGCAATGCAACATTTTCTAGAAGCCTTTTTTTTTTGAGACAGAGTCTCACTCTGTCACCCAGGCTAGAGTGCAGGGGTGCAATCACAGCTCACTGCATCCTCGGCCTCCTGGGTTCAGGTGATCCTCTCACCTCAGTCTCCTGAGTAGCTGAGACTACAGGTGCATGCCACCTCACCTGGCTAATTTTTTGTATGTTTCGTGGAGACGAGGTTTTGCCATCTTGCCCAGGCTGCTCTCAAACTCCTGGGCTCTAGTGATCTGCCTGTCTCAGCCTCCCAAAGTGCTGGGATTACAGGCATAAGCCACCTTATCTAGCCAGAAGCCATATTTTAACGAGTAAAATGAAACTGGTAAACTTTATTTAACCTATTCACAATATTATCATGCAATCACTATAACAATAAATGGGATTTGATGTCATCAATATTAACAAGGTATCTTACATTCTTTTTTGCACTACATCTTTGAAATCCATGTACACTACATTTTACACTTACATCTCTATGTGAACCAGCCACATTTCAAGTGCCCAATAGCCACATGTGGCAAGTGGCTAATGGAGTGGACAGTGCAGCTGTGGGCCTCTGGAGGGCAGAAGCCACGCCGAGTCTTCTGTGTGGATCTCCAGCTCCCTGTCATGCTTGGCCTTGGGGAGAGCAGTGTAGCATTGCTGATATGACCTCAGCTGAGAGCTCAGATTTGCCACTTAACAGCTGTTCCCTGGCTGAGCCCACTGGGCCTCAGCTCCCTGAGTTGTAAAGTGGTGATGATAACATTTTCAGTATGGTGCAGAATGTTAACACAAATTAAATATTTTTATGGATGCAGTTTACAGATTTTTACAGATACAAAACGGAAGGCAAGGAGGCAGAATAGCCTGCCTGGTGAGTACACAGGATATGTGGGGCCAGAGCTCCTTCCCCCGGATTCTTCTCCTTGGCCTCCTGCCCTGATTGAATTTGGGGACTGGGCCTGGGCCTTCCCTCTCAGAACCCCCGACTACAGTGGGGTCAGATGGGCAAGGGGCTGACGGCTGCTGAGCTGGCTGTGGAGTTTATGATGCACTGTGGGAATGATGGTCTGTAGACTGATGTTGGGTCAGGGGCTAGGGGCAGCAGGGCTGTGGTGGAGCGAGCATGGGGTAGGCTGCTGTGGGCGCCACTCACTGTTGTCGACTGATCCCTGGAGCCTGGAAACTGCGTGTGTGCTGGGCTCCCTGGTTCCCTGGCGAGCCAGTGGCTGAGACCTGAGTCTTTATATGCCACGGGGATCTGTAGGGCCAAGCAAGCCTGGCTGCCACCCCTCCTGTCTTCTCTAGGGCCTCGAACTCCTTGGGACCCTTTTTACGCTGCCCACCCCCAGTCTGGGTGGGCAGTGGTTATTGGTACCGGGGTCTGCTGCCCCCTCCAGATGGAGGACAGGGATCTTTTCCACCTCACCTGTGTCTCCAGTACCCAGTTCAGGCCCAGACACAAATGGGCCCTTAATTCAGAGAACTAGCTGAGCCACCAAGTGAAGCAAAGTGGTATTTGAAATGCCACAGATGCCATGGGGCAGCAGGAACTCAGAGGCGGGTAGAATATCTGTAACATCTTCTGGGAAGAGGTGAGCCTGGGATGGCGTCGGAAAGCCCAAGCGAAGGGCCAGGCCAAGTGACTCATGCCTGTAATCTCAGCATTTTGGGAGGCAAAAGTGGGAGGATCACTTGAGGTCAGGAGTTTGAGACCACCCTGGGCAACATAGGGAGACCCCATCTTTACACAAAGTTTAAAAATTTGGCCGGCATGGTGGTGCACCCCTGTAGTCCCAGTTGCTTGAGAGGCTGAGGCTGGAGGATCACTTCAGCCCAGGAGCTCAAGGTTACAGTGAGCCATGATTGCACCACTGCACTCTGGCCTGGGTGACAGAGACCTTGTCAAAAAAACACAAAAAACAAAAAACCCAGCAAGAGCTAGACAAGGGAAGGGGAAGGAGCAGGAGCAGGAGATTCTGGAGTGGGCAGTGGTATGGCAGGGGTGCAGATTATGCCCACCGAACAGACAATTAGTGGCAGGAAAAGCTAACGTTTATTGAGCACTTACTATGTGCAGTACATGCATTTCACTGACCCGTCACAGTCTTCCCTTAAGGATAGTGCTGTTATCCCCAAGGGTGGGTGAGAAAGCCAAGGCCTAGACAATTATAGTCACATAAGAGCCAGAGCTGAGACCGAGCCAAGATTGCAGCTTTGGCCGCTAGCTGCAGACATCAACGTCATTGCCAAGCTCCCCAGGTTACAAAACCCTCCTCGGCCCAGGGTCTTGCCAGGCCCTTCTAGCTGCTTTATGGTCATGGTGTCTGATCTGGCGGTGGGGAGGGAGGCTCAGCCTGAGCTGGGGCTTGTGGCCACTGAGCTCAGGAGTGAATGCCCCCATGCTGGAGGTGTCCACAGCAGGTCCTTGCTGCTGTCCTTGCTGCTCACTTAGTGGGGCATGTTACTGTGCATAATTACGCATCAGGTGATGAGGTGACAGCAGCTCCTCATCACCTAATAGGCGCCAGGTGCTTTGCGTCTGTTATCTTACTCCACAGAAGCTGTGCATTTAGATGTATTAGCTGCATTGTACAGACAAGGAAACTGAGGCTCAACAAGGTCAGAGGTGGGACTCAAACTGGGATCTGTGGGACCTGAGTCAGTGAACCTGAGCTCCCAGCACATCTTATCACAGCCCAGAGATGTCTGAGTCCCTGTAAAGAGAACCCAGGAACCCACCCAGTGCCGAGCCTATGCCATGGGACTGCTGGGATACTGGCATCTTCCAGCATCTTCCTCTGTGGGCCTGAGATCATCCTCTGTACTCCTTCCTTGCTGCACCTGGGGGCCATGCTGGGGAGTGGTTTTTGGCAGGTTGGCAGTGGTCGCTGAGCACATCAGGCCCTGGTGAGGGCAGCTAAGGGGATAAACATCAGGAATGGGACTTGGGAGGCCGCAAGGGCAGCAGCAGCTGTAATCACTGATACTTTCTCTGTGCTGCGCTCTGGGCTTGACCTATACTCAGACAGAGAGATGCTCACAGCTCTGTGTGGGAAAAAGACGCCTTTGCTATTCAAAACCCAACCCAACTAATGCCAAGCTCTGGGTGAACATGGTCATGGAGAGCCCTGGGGCATCTCAGAGTCCCGCTGCTTCCCCTCTTCCCATGTTCACAGCCCTGGAGTTGGTTCCTAGAAAAGAAAATGCTGATTGCACAAGAGAGAGGAAGGGCATCCCAGGCAGAAGGAACAGCACTTGCAAAGGCCTGGAGGGAGGAGCTATTCGATAGTCCTGTAGAACTGGGGCAGTTGAGGGGACCATTGGAAAAGAGTCAGGACCAAGTCAGGAAGACCTGCTAATGGTGAACGTGAGAGCCGGGATGCACACTGCCAGCGCTGGCTCACCATGGCCTGTGGCTCCTGGAGGAGGCTCAGGGTCTTCCCGTGCCGCCAGTGCCAGGGTAGCAAGGGCTCGGCACAGTCCAGGTCATGCCTCGGCTTCCCCTTCTAGGAAACAGGGGTACAGACTCCTTGGGGCCAAGCCTGCTGAAGGCTGCAGAAGGTTTTGCAGACCTGCCCGAGGACAGGGCTTCACCTCGTTGCCCGCCTCTGGAGGCAGCCTGGTGGGGTTGGGCAGGTGCAGAGGGCCGTTCAGTCAGTCATCTACTGGGCACGGAGGACAGTCCAAAGTGGGCCCTGCTTTGTAGCCAGGGGGGCCCCCATCATGACTTTCGAGGGCCCCAGCTGTGTCCCCTGTACCTCACAGGTTCCGTCAGCCCTGGCGCCCAGGTGCATCTGACTTGGCACCCCCTGCAGGCACTATGGCCCAGAGCTGGGCGCTGCTACTCCTGCTGCTGCTGCCGCCACAGCTGCACCTGGGACCTGTGCTTGCCGCAAGGGGCCCGGGATTTGGCCGAAGCGGCAGCCACAGCCTGAGTCCCGAAGAGAACGAATTTGTGGAGGAGGAGCCGGTGCTGGTCCTGAGCCCTGAGGAGCCCGTGCCTGGCCCAGCTGCGGTCAGTTGCCCTCGAGACTGTGCCTGTTCCCAGGAGGGCGTCGTGGACTGTGGCGGCATCGACCTGCGTGAGTTCCCCGGGGACCTGCCTGAACACACCAACCACCTGTCCCTGCAGGTGAGGTCGGCGCTGCACCCGTGGTCACGGGGGCTGCCCCACACACCCTTGGCTCCCATCCCAGAACCCCGACACTCCCAGCAACCTGTTCACCCAGAACCTCCAATATGCGTGGCTCTCCACTCCCAGCCACGGGGTGCTGGGGCAGGTCAGATTCAGGGGCACTGGCCACAGCAGGTAACGCCCCTCCTGGTGTCCTAGTCACAGAGCACTGTGATTATACAATAAAACCCGCTTTGCTTACTTAGAGGAGTCCGGGCTGGGCCCAGTAAGTGGAGCCAGGCTCTGTCTGAAAGTGGACACAGACCTGCCCCGCAGCCGACCCTCTGAAAGCGCAGCCACCACTACAGGGCCAGGAACACCAGAGCAAAGTAGACTTGACGCACCCTGAGAATACTCCGGGGTCTCGGAGGAGGGAACGCTGTCTCCAGCCAAGGGGGAGGCTAGAATTTGGAACCTTGAGAAGTCGGACAGTGTCCAGACCAGGAGCACCCTGGAGTGCAGGTGCAGAGTGCCCCATCCTCACCTTGTGCGGCCCAGCAGCCCTGGGGAGACGGAGGGGCTGCGGCACTCGTTTCCAGAGGCGACCAGGCCCGGTGCGGGAGAGTGACTTACTGACGGCCATCCTCACTGGAGGGTCTGAGCTGGGGACCGTGGGAGCCCAAGGCCAGGGTAGGCACGGAGGGAAAGGGCCACTCTGAGGGCAGCTCTTACTGTTGGCTCCTTTGCCCTTTCATCCACACATCAACTCCCTCAGGCACCTGCACTGGGCCTCTGGTCCTGTGTGGGTGCTGGCCATGTGGGCAGGGCTTGGTGTTCCCTGCCTTTCAGGTGCTTACAGTTGGTTGGCGAGGCAGAGACCTAAACAGATAGATGCCAGATGGCAATGGAAGGGCTGTGTGTGGGGCCCAGAGCAGCCTCCTAATCTAGCCCCAACCCAATCCAGGAAGGCTTCTGGAGGAGGTGGTCCCTGCCTCAGCTTTTCATGTGTTCCAAGGGGAGAGGGGACTGTAGGGCCAAGGAAGAGAAGGAAAAGTGGTTTCTGGCTTGGGGAGCAGCTGTGGCTGCCTGTCACGAGGTGGGAATGCTCCAGGAGCAGGTCTGGAGGAGAGAGCACGTTGAGTCTGAACTGCCTGTTGATGTCCACGTGTGGCTCCCCGAAGGCAGGACCCACACACCTGTTGTGGTCACTGTGGTGCCCCAGAGCCCATATCCAGGCCTGGCCCAGAGCTGGCACCAGGGTCTACAGCCATGGGGAGGATCCCAAGGGAGGTGCACAGCAGGTGGACTGGATTCTAGGATTGGAGCTGCCGGCAAGGGCCTGAGTCCAGGGCACACCCCCCTAGGCTGATGCTGCTTCTTCGCTACCCCCTACCCCCTAGAACAACCAGCTGGAAAAGATCTACACTGAGGAGCTCTCCCGGCTGCACCGGCTGGAGACGCTGAACCTGCAAAACAACCGCCTGACTTCCCGAGGTGAGGGGCTGCGCAGAGCCAAGGGGCAGGTGTGCTAAGTGGGGGCTTCCCGAGGTGAGGGGCTGCCTAGAGCTCAGGGTCAGGGGCACCAAGTGTGGCCTTGGGGGCCTGAGCGATGCTGGGTGCCCATGGGGCGAGCTTGGCGCTGTGAATCTTGGGGTGTGGATGGAAGAGGGCAGGGCAGGGCCGGGCTGGCAGCGGGGCTCATGAGAACCAGCTCCACACAGGTAAGGGGCTCCCCATTGTTGCCTGAATACCACATGGGTATTTCTTTCTTTCTTTTTGTTTTTTGACATGGCCACTTACTTTAATAACAATACATATACCTTGTTGTCACCATGGCATGTAGATTCAGGTTAGACAAGAGAATTTCATGAGTGTAATAACATTCTGTAGTATATAAAAGTTTGTGTATACCATCTGGCCAAGACAGCGGGCTTATAGTCATTAATCAATTCCATTATAGGTAATTTGTTTAGTTTAATGTTTATAATTCTTATGGAAAAAATAAGCAACACACACATTTTTAAAGTGTTAATTTACCTTTGCGTGAGTGATTAAAATACACAATTCTATTTCAAGATGATATTTTAAAATGACTCTAATATAACAGCAGCAAAAATATAATTCTGCAATTACAAAAGAACTAAACTAGAATCCATAAGTTATTCTCATGTTTGCGATTGTGATTCTTTAATAAATACTATTACTATGCTTTATTGTAAGCTTTCTAAATTTGGTTTAAACACACCCATAGATACTGTCAGTTGTGGGAGGCTTTACAAGTTATATTCCCTGCACTTTTGGACAGAGTTCTAAAAGAGCCAGCAAGTCTACAAGACAGGCAGAAAAAAGTTGAATTAACTGGGGCAAATAGGACCTTATATAACATCCAAAAACGTGAGATTCTGCAGCAAACTGGGAGTACTTCAGGACTGGCCTGCTGTCCTCTTTAGAATTAACTTTATCTTAACAGTTTAAGAAGGTGGACATTTCAGCACCATCAAGTGCATTCAGGTGACATGTTTCAAGATGTCTAACTAGGCCGGGTGTGGTGGCTTATGGCTGTAATCCCAACACTTTGGGAGGCCAAAGCAGGTGGATCACCTGAGGTCAAGAGTTCGAGACCAGCTTGGCCAACATGGTGAAACCCTGTTTCTACTAAAAATACAAAAAATTATCTGGATGTGGTGGTGGGCGCCTGTGATCCCAGCTAGTTGGGAAGCTGAGGCAGGAGAATTGCTTGAACCTGGAGGCGGAGGTTGTGGTGAGCCGAAATGCTCCATTGCCCTCTAGCCTGGATGACAAAGCAAGGCTCCATCTCAAAAAAAAAAAAAAGTTATCTAACTAAAGCAAGCTCCTCCAACAAGATCAAAACAGCATCTCTCCTAAGGCTTAGGTTTTGCCCAGAATTCCCGATATAGGGAATAGCCCATCCCAACAGTCATTGTTCCTACAGCGAAGCCTTGGGCTGCCACATGCATGCAGATCAGATGAAGGGACATTTTTGTATTTCCCCTGCTCTTCAATTTGTGTAATCATATGCAACAAGGTTGCAAAGCCTGCCATTCCAATGGGGACAAATGGTGCTTCTTCAGCCTTCTAAATAAGTTTGGATCGCTGATCTTCACCATGTGAAAGAAGGGAACCTCTGTGTGTGTTGACATAGTGATTGCTTGAAGAATCTCCCTAGAGAGAGAAAACCTGTCACTTGCCAGCCGGCTTCTGGTCCCAGCTGTGCGCCCCAGGCAGGTGTTTCTAAGACCTGGGAGATGCGCAGGGAGAGGCTTCGGAGAAACTGAGCTTCCAGCACCTGGTCGTAGGGTCGTCTGTTCCAAGGGCCTTTAGAACCCAAGAGCTGTAGACTCACATTTTAAAAAAGATGTTTTGTTTTTTTTTCCTGATGACGAAAATAACATCTGATTAAGAGAGAAACTTTGGAAAATAAAATGGAAAGAGAAAATCTCTCATGATTCTGCCACTTGGAATTAACTACTATTGACATTTGGGTATATTTGTTTCCATTTTTAAAAAAGCAGCTTTCCTGAGGTATCACTGATATACCGTGAGATTTACCCAATTTAAAGGTAAAATTGGATGAGTTTTAGTAAGTGGTGCCACCATCACCACAATCCAGTGGTCTTTTTTTCTTTGTGTCTTAAACCCGTGGCTGGACACATGCTGCAGAAATCACAGCCTGCTTTGTTTTCCTTAGCAGTCAGCTCAGCCGCCTCTCTCGTGTTGCTAAAGCCTCTCATTGACCATCATCTCACACAGCCGCTCCATGGAGAGACGTGCCAGTTTATGTAACTGTTCCCTCTTGTTAGAGACTTGGGTGAGGTCCTGCATCTGGGGGTCTTGGAGCCCGGAAACGCGGGTCAGAGGCCAGCCTCAGGGCTGGAGAAGGGCCAGCCTGGCCAGGCTCCCAGTAGCCGCTGAGTCCTGACACATCTGCCAGATGGGGCAGGGGTGAGCCAGGTGGTGAGGAGGCCCAGAGCCTCGGCCCACCCTGCATGGGGCCATTCCTGGCGGGGCCCACCTGCCTGTGAAAGGGGCTCTGACCTTCTGGGGCTCTCCCCGAGGGGAGTGCTTCTTCCTGACAGAAAAGGGTCAGCCTGGGTGCTCTGCCGCTGGCCTGACCTCTCCAGGGGTCATCCCCACTCAGAGCAGGGAGTCGGTCCCTCAGTAGACAATAACTGCCTCCTCCTCGGGACGCGGGCTCGTGTGAGCAAGCAGAAAGAACAGGGCTGGGCAGGCCCCGCACCCCGACTGCTTGGGAGGGGAACTGAGCTGCCTCTGCCTCCCCAGTCCTGGCAGGTGGGTGGGAGAGGAGGGTGGGTGCTTGCTGTGCTTCCCTGTAGCGTCTCCTTCATCCAGGGCTCTGACCGATGCCTGTCCTTTGAAGGGCTCCCAGAGAAGGCGTTTGAGCATCTGACCAACCTCAACTACCTATACTTGGCCAATAACAAGGTGAGGGGCTCGAGGAAGGGTGGGGGGTGTGCTGCCCTGTCCTCCAGGCATTGTCTGCCCTGAGTTCCCTCAATTTTCACCAGGCCTTTCTGGGCTGGCCGCTGGGTCCCTGCTGCTGCTCAGACATGGCCCTAGGTCTGGGGTGGGGGGGACACGGACCCATGCCTGTAACTCAGGGCATCAGAATGTGTCAGGTAATGAAGACAGAAGCCAAAGCCCACAGGACTATAGAGAGGGAAGAGCTTATCCCCACTGGGGAAGGCATAACTGGAGGGCTTCCTGGAGGAGAGCGCATTTGAGCAGGGCCATGGAGGGTAATAGGATTCTAGGCAGGGGCCCCAGGGTGGGCAGTAGAAGGGATGTCATGAGTGAAGGCACAAACATACTCAAGCTCAAAATATTTGGTGTGCTGCAGAGCTCTGTCCCAGCCTCTCCTCTCTCCGAACTCTCTGGAGGTGACCTGTGCCCTCCCAGACTCTATCTCCCATCTGCTTCATGGCCATGGCCAGTGACTGTCTCCAACCCTCTCTACTCCTTGGGCTTGAGACTCAAAGGTCTGCTGCCTCCTTGACATTTCCCCTAGACATCCACTGGAAGGAAGCTACAGCTCCTGCCCACAGCCCCCAAACCCGGACCCAATCCTCCTCTGTCTTCCCAGCTCTATAAGGGGCATCTCCAGCCACCTATGGCCCCACTGGTCCAAGCCACAAATGGTGCCTCCGGGCCCTGAGCTTCCTCACCGCGTCCAGTCCCACTGAGGCCCTCAGCCCCTACCACACCGGCCCCCATCCCTCACCCAGACGCCTGCCTCCTCATTTGTCCCCGCATTCTTGGATCAGCCAGGGCAACTTTAAAGTCACACTCATCGCTCCTCGGCCTTTTGGCTAAGATCAGGCGTAAAAGTTACACCCACTTCTACGCCTTATCTGCTCGAGATGAGCCCAGGAGGACGGGTAGGGCAGGGGACAAGTCCCGAGGGCCTTGAATGCCAAGCTGAGTGCTGAGGACAGCCAGAGAGGTTTTGGTTTTGTTTTTGCAGGGGGGTGGGACAGGTTTCAATTTGAGAAAGATGGCCTGGTTACGGGGAGGAGACGTAGTGAGGGGGCCCACAAGGGCAGCAGCCAACGTGACCCAGAGCTGGCCTCTGCCCCTCCATTGCTCTTTCGGCCCAACTCTTCCCTTCCCAGCTGACCTTGGCACCCCGCTTCCTGCCAAACGCCCTGATCAGTGTGGACTTTGCTGCCAACTATCTCACCAAGATCTATGGGCTCACCTTTGGCCAGAAGCCAAACTTGAGGTCAGAGGTGGGGGGTGGTCTGGGCTCGGGCTGGGGCAAGGGGCGGGGCTGTGGTGGCGGCTGCCATCCTGTGTGAGGCAGAGGCAGGCCCAGAGGAGGCCCGGTGCTCAGGGCTGTGGCGGAGGGACACCGAGGGGCCCTAATGGAGGAGGATGACTCCGGCCGGGAGGCGAGGACAGCGTGTTGTCTACAGGAAGTGTGGGGAACCAGTGAGGGTGTCCCCGCTTTCCCAGCCCTGGGGGAGGGGAGCATCTTTCAATAGCAGAACTGCCCTTTGCTGAGCTGTGTTGGGAGGAGCCAGCACCCCCAGCATAGGTGTGAGAGAGCAGGGCGGCGTGGGTGGAGCGGGGGCTGCAGGGGAGCCACCTCCAGGACAGACTGGGGGCTGGACAACCCCAGCGCCCTTCTGACCCTGTGTCTGCCATCTCACTGACTCTCTCCATCTGCCTGAGGAGCCAGGGCCACTGTGCATGGCCCCATCCCACAGACGGAGGCACCAGAGGGGCCTCACAGCAAGGCTGAGCTGTCACAGACGACCCTGTTCCTTGTCTTCCCTCCTTCTAGTATGTTAGCTCCCTGAGGGCAGGGCCGCGTCCACTGTTGTGCCTTCAGTCTAGAACAGCCCCGGCACCTCGTATATGTGTTTATTTATACACCTCGTATATGTACATATCTCTATTTAATACATTACATAACATATTCACTACATATTTGCCGAATGGATGAGGGTCACCTCCTCTCAGACACGCCCTGTGCTGGCGCCAGAGCCAGAGGCGGGCAGAGAGGGGCCCTGTTTTTAGGAAGTCCTAGGAACTCACAGCCAGGCTGTGTGGGGTTGACAGGCAGGGATGGAGGAACTGCGAGGCAGGCAAGGGCTCCAGGGCTGAACCGGTCAGGGGTCAACTGAGACTTTGAAAGGTGTGGAGGAGCCTCGGCCAGGGGCCAGGAAATCCTGTTTCTCCCACTAACTTCCATGAGCACCTGTGGTTGGGCACAGCCCCTCTGGTCCTTAGTTCTGTCAGCTGTGTAGGCAACATCTGAGGTGCTTCTAACTCTGTACCCTTGGGTTTGGGTCGAAGGAGAGCACCCTGGGCCCCAGGCTCAGCCTGGGAAAGGGTTTGGAGGCTCACCAGGTGAACTGGCGCAGGGCCGGGGGGCCAGGTGGGGTAAGGCCCTGCGCCTCGGCCCCCAGGTCTGTGTACCTGCACAACAACAAGCTGGCGGACGCCGGGCTGCCGGACAACATGTTCAACGGCTCCAGCAATGTCGAGGTCCTCATCCTGTCCAGCAACTTCCTGCGCCACGTGCCCAAGCACCTGCCGCCCGCCCTGTACAAGCTGCACCTCAAGGTGGGCAGGGGAGGGGGTGAGGAGGGGCACTGCAGACCCCAATGCCAGGGCACTGGAGCAGGGGCCTGCAGGGAAAGAGCCCAGGCCCACATGGGCACAGGTGCTGCCCTGCAGAGAAGTGGGCAGAAACCTGGGCACCTGGCCAGCGGGTTGTGTGTGGTGTTGGCGGCACCACCCCTGGGATGCTTCAGGTCTGAGCCCGTTCCTGGTGGCTTCCCACTCTCCTCTCCACACCTCATCCGGAGGCCCTGACCCTGCCTGCGGCCCTCCCTCACACTCTCCTGCCTTCCCCTCCATGCCCCAGAACAACAAGCTGGAGAAGATCCCCCCGGGGGCCTTCAGTGAGCTGAGCAGCCTGCGCGAGCTGTACCTGCAGAACAACTACCTGACCGACGAGGGCCTGGACAACGAGACCTTCTGGTGAGTCCTTGGTGTGACTGCAGGGCCCGGGAAGCTCCTTCAGGGCCGACCACCCAGCCCAGCCCCTCACACGAATCCCTGCCCACCTTTCCTGGAGAAGGAACTTTTTTTTTTTTTTTTTAATTAATTCCACATTTTTCTTTTTTTTTTCCCATTTATTTATTTTATTGCATTTTAGGTTTTGGGGTACATGTGAAGAACATGCAAAATTGTTGCATAGGTACACACATGGCAGTGTGATTTGCTGCCTTCCTCCCCATCACCTACATCTGGCATTTTGGAGAAGGAACTTTAAGCCTTGTGCCTCTGTTGACATTTCTGTCCCTGGGAACAAGTACTGTGTATACATAAGTCCTGCCAAGATTCCTTAACTATAAGAAGCACTGGCCGAGGCTAGCTTCTTGGTATGAAATAGAGACTCAGACATTCTTGTTGAAGGCAAATGCGTTTTCATTTTTATAAGGGACCAGGGTGGCCACAAAAGGCTATCAAAAGGTTAAACAGCCTGTGTGTTAGAAAATGCCAGATCGTTCCTACACCAGAATAGCATTGGGTCAACCCAAGGAGCAATGACTGAGGCCCCTAGTCAGTGAGTGGCAGAGCTGGGAGGAACTAGTGGCAATTCCCCAGCCGCTTCTCTTGGGAATCGTGGTGGAAACAAGTACAGTGTGAGCTCCTGCCCAGCATCCTGATTCCCTCCCTGCCCCAGGAAGCTCTCGAGCCTGGAGTACCTGGATCTGTCCAGCAACAACCTGTCTCGGGTCCCGGCAGGGCTGCCACGCAGCCTGGTGCTGCTGCACTTGGAGAAGAACGCCATCCGGAGCGTGGATGCGGATGTGCTGACCCCCATCCGCAGCCTGGAGTACCTGCTGCTGCACAGCAACCAGCTGCGGGCGCAGGGCATCCACCCGCTGGCCTTCCAGGGCCTCAAGCGGCTGCACACGGTGCACCTGTACAACAACGCGCTGGAACGCGTGCCCAGCGGCCTGCCTCGCCGCGTGCGCACCCTCATGATCCTGCACAACCAGATCACAGGCATTGGCCGCGAAGACTTCGCCACCACCTACTTCCTGGAGGAGCTTAACCTCAGCTACAACCGCATCACCAGCCCGCAGGTGCACCGCGACGCCTTCCGCAAGCTGCGCCTGCTGCGCTCGCTGGACCTGTCGGGCAACCGGCTGCACACGTTGCCACCTGGGCTGCCTCGCAATGTGCATGTGCTGAAGGTCAAGCGCAATGAGCTCGCTGCCCTGGCACGAGGGGCGCTGGCGGGCATGGCCCAGCTGCGTGAGCTGTACCTCACCAGCAACCGACTGCGCAGCCGGGCCCTGGGCCCCCGCGCCTGGGTGGACCTCGCCGGTCTGCAGGTAAGGGGAAGGGAGGGGGCTGGGCCATGTCCGTGGAGGGGGGTACTGGCATGGCTGCCCTGAGCCCACCTGTCTGAAGGGTGAGGAGGAGGGCTGGGTGGTGAGGGAAGTTCCTCAGGTATGGCCAGGCTGAGCTCATTCACCCTCAGTTATCTGTTGGGGATGCCAGCTAGGGCGAAGCAAGGCCTTAGGGAAGGCAGGAGGTGGGCCATGCACAGGGTGTGGCTGGCATGCCAGGGTCAGCCCAGCCCACCTGCAGGTACAAGAGCGAGGGACAGGGTACAGCTGGTCCGGCTAAGCTGAGCTCACCACCTGCAGATACAGGTTTGAGAAGGGCTGTGGAGGTAAGGAAGGTCATGGCTGCAGGTAGGGGCCCCAGGTTCAGGAGGACTAGTGGGGTGTGCATGGGAGAGTCAAGCTCACTGCCTTAAAGGCACAGGAGTAGGTATGTGGAGAAGGTTGGGCTTCGGGATGGGGACAGAGGGGGACAGCCTGAGCTGTGGGCCCACCTCACCAGTCTGCAGAGGGCTGGCGGTGGGGATCTGCTCATGCTTTCTGGGGCTGGCCAGTGGATGTGGCTACTGTGGCCACATGGTCAGAGTTAGGCAGGGATGTCTGGGCACATGGTTCACTTTGGTAATAAGCAAAACTTCCAACTCAACCAGTGTGGGTGCAAAGAGAAATCCACTCCGTATGCTGGCTCATGCCTGCAATCACAGCACTTAGGGAGGCTGAGGCAGGAGGACTGCTTGAACCCAGGAGTTCAAGGCCTGCCTGGGCAACATAGTGAGACCCCATATCTACAAAAAACAAATAAAAAAAATAGCCTGGTACAGTGGCACACACCTGTATTCCCAGCTACCCCAGGAGGCTGAGGAGGAAGGATCACTTGAGCCTAGGGAAGACAGAACAGACAGTGAGCTATGATCGTATCATTGCACTCAAGCCTGGATGGCAGAGCAAGACCCTGTCTCAAACCTAAAAAAAAAAGAAGGAAACACCTGGGAGGGAGGGTGGAGTGCTGCCAGGCTCCAGCGGCTCCCTGTTGGAGCCCACTTCCCTGACTGCTTGCCCCTGGACTCCAGGCATGTGATGATCTGAGACAGAAGGGCCTGGGGCCTGGCTGTTGTGCTGGGGTCGCTGTGGGTCTCACCCCTTGCTCCTGGCCTCTGCACATGTGGCCCCTGAGGTTCATAAGTGAGCAGTCCCACCAGTGCACCTCCCACTGCCCCCATCCAGGGCCAGTGGGGTGAGATTCAGAGTCTGGAGTATCCCTGGGTTCTGCCTATTTGAGGTCTATGGGAATGACAAGTGTGTCAGGAGGGAGGACAGTGACACCCAAATATCTTGGCTGTGAGTTTATGTGAGAAGGCACAGAAGCTGGGTAGGACATGCATCAATCAGAATAAGGGTTGGGAGTCAGGTGCACGCAGCTACAGCCTTTTACAGGCTATGTAACCTTGGAAAGATCACTTAACCTTTCTGAGCCTCTGTTTCCCCATCTGGGAAGTGGGCATAGTGGTAGACTCCCCCTGCCCCCCACAGGGTTATCATTAGATTTAGATAGGCTAGGGGCTTGGTGGGAGTTTTGTAAGCTGTTAAGTGCTTTGCACAGGTGGGAGTCCCTGACTCCCTTGGTCGCCCCTGCAGCTGCTGGACATCGCTGGGAATCAGCTCACAGAGATCCCCGAGGGGCTCCCTGAGTCACTTGAGTACCTGTACCTGCAGAACAACAAGATTAACGCGGTGCCCGCCAATGCCTTCGACTCCACACCCAACCTCAAGGGGATCTTTCTGAGGTAGGAGGCCACTATCGGCCCTGTATACATCCCCGGGAGGCCCGCCCCAGCTCCAGCAGGACAGTTGAGGCACGTGGGAACAGCTTGGCTCCACTGCTGACTGTAACCACGGCTCAGCTCTCAAGGGTTAAGTCCTGCCCAGGCCTGATATGGTTCCTGGGTTTGTAAAAGGGCTTTGGAAACGTTAAAAACCAGTGCACATGGGTGTTGTGAATGTTACTGTGGCAGAAAGGACGTCAGACAGCGTCTTCCCAGTTTACAGCTGGGAGAGCTGAGGCCCCGAGAGCACAGTGACTGCTGTGTCTGTGGCCATCCAGGCTGGGCCTGGGCCTCATGCTCAGGAAGATGCTCAGGTCCTCCCTGGGTTCCGGGGCTAAGGGATGGGGGTTTGGAGGGATTCAGGACATGCAGCTCCCGAGGATATGAGGGGCTTCCATGCAGCAGAGCCAGGGTGGTTCTTCCCAGCACTTCCCACTGCCCCTGCCCCCAAATCAGAGAGGAGACAGAGCAAAGAAGAGCAGTGTGTGCTCCCAGGAGCTTGGTGGCCCAGAAGGTCCAGGGCTCGATGACATCAGGGTGGCATGACATGTACCTCGGGCATCTGCAGGGGAGCTGAAGTGTAGCAAGTGAGGGGCCTGAGATCAGAGCCACAGCCTCCACCTCCCCACCCCTGAGTGTGGCCCTAGCCCACCTCAGCGCTGGCCTTGCCTGTGTGCCACTCCACATCAGGCACTGTGGTGACCCCTGGTTACCACAGCCTGGGAGCCTCAGGCCTTGGGGTTAATGCCAGGGATGGCATAGAGACAGCTCCCAAAGATGTGGCTTCCAAAATAGCAGTGAAAGTGTGCCCAGAGAGAGACCCCTCACTTTGCAGAGACTGGCCCAGTGCCAGCCCCACCCCAAGCTGCGGCTACCCTGACTGGCCTGTACCTTCCATCATGCTCCCCACCTCTCAGCCCCTGGCCTTTCCTGCCTGCTGCATCACTTTTCGGGAGGGCTGTTCCCTCCCCTGTTACCTTCTGGAGAGGGCAGTCGGGGTAAGGGAGGGTTCCTTGGGGGTTGGGCTCCTGGCACTGACTCCACCTCGATTCTGGCGCAGGTTTAACAAACTGGCCGTGGGCTCTGTGGTGGACAGCGCCTTCCGGAGGCTGAAGCACCTGCAGGTCTTGGACATTGAAGGCAACTTTGAGTTTGGTGACGTTTCCAAGGACCGTGGCCGCTTGAGGAAGGAAGAGGAGGAGGAGGAGGAAGAGGAGGAAGAGGAAGAGGAAACAAGATAGTGACAAGGTGTCGCAGATCTGACCTAGGTACGTGGCCTGCGTGGGGCAGCCCTCACCTCTGCTCACTGCACCTTCCTGTTCCTGACCCGGTGTAGGGTCTTTCCGGCCATGCTTCACTCTCTGTCCTCTGCTTCATCTGCCCATTTTGCAAATTTATAAGAGCACTTGGAAAATACCAGTCCTTGGTGAAAGATTGAAGCCTACAAGAGGCCCACAACTTCCAGAAGATTCTCACCCAGAGTGAGGGTGCTGTCATGGGAGTGCCTGGGGGGCACTGGACACGTGGGTCTGGGCTCAGGAGTGAGGTCTGGTCTGGAAAGACTGATCTGGGCACTGTCAGCCTGGAAGCATCACTGAACCCTCGGGGCTGGGGAAGCTGCCGTAGGAGAGTGAGTGAGGCGGGCAGGCAAAGCGGGAGAGGAGACTGAGACAGAGCAGTTAGGAAGGCAGGTGGGACAACCCCACTGTCATGGACAAAGGGCGTTTGCACATGTGTGTAACACAGGCACACACATGTGCATATGCAAATACACATGTATGCACCAACCCACACATTCATGTGCACACACGTCTAAACATGTACACACATCCACAAACCATGGAAGGCAGAACATACACCATACACATGTACACACAGACACATACATTCTTGTATTCCATGACACATTTGCAGGCCTAGACCATGTACATGCACACACGTGTACATGCATGTGAGTACATGCACACAAGACAGCCATGCGTATGCACACACACAGCCCTCACCTGTACACCTGCATGCACACACATGCACACAAGACGTGCATGCACAGGCCTCTCTAGAAGCGGGGACATGGCCATGTCAGTGCTGCTGAGGGGCTGAGGGAGCTGAGCACCGCAGCAGAGTGCACACTGGATTTTTCCACCTGGAGGTTGTCTGTGACTTTGTAGCCACAGGGGAAGCTGGAGGTGAGGAGAGCATCCGGAAAGGAGGTGAGTCCAGGCGCTGTAGATAAGCCTTTGGAGCAGTTTGGCTGTGAGAGATGAGAGAGGGCAGAGGTGGGAATGGGGTGTGAAGTTCAAGAAGGGCTCATTTTCTGAACTGCACAGGAAGCAAAGGCCTCTCGAGAGGAGCGCTGCGTGGGGGGCTCTGGAAAGATGCATCTTCCACACACGCATCCACTTAATGGAGGGGCCGGCTTGGATGCTGGTGGGAAGAGGCTGGCCAGGAGGGGGAGTTACTGATGTAGGAAAGAGCGGAGTGTGAGGGCCCTTGTGGGAATGGCAGAAGTTGCTGGCTTTAGCAGGAGGGACAAAGGGCAGGGTGGCTGCAGTCACAGGTAGGTTGGTGGCTTGGTGGCCGATGTGAAGCCATGCTTCGCAGACCGCAGGTGTGAAGACGGACAGCTGGATCCACCCCCAGCTGGGTTTTCAGCCCAGTGTGTAGGACAGGAGGGCACGGAATAAGGGAGGGTATTGGCTGGAGCCTGCTGGGGGCGTGGTCCCGGGGTCAGGCTGGGGAGGGCGGGTACAGGCAGAAGGGCTGATGGGCCACTGGTGACTGTTGACTGAGGTAGGGCCTGGGGCAAAAAGGAGCCAGAGGGGGCTGCTGAGGACCCCTGGGTGGGTGAAAGAGGGAGTTGGGAGAGGGCGCAAGTGATGACAAGAGAAGAGTGTGCATGGGGGAGTGGGTATCCGCAGAGGTGGAGGGGCTGGCAAGAGGCCGAGCTTAGGGGTCACCTTCCTCAGCTCCCAGGGCCCAGGGAAGATGAAGGTGGAACCGTTTCTCCCAGGCATTGTCCTCACATAGAGTTGGGGCCAGCGACAGGGACTGGCCATCCAGTGAGGATACCACAGCCTTCATGAGGGGGGCTGTGAGTCCTGGGATGAGAGTTCTGGGTGACAATCTGCCCCTTCTCAGGTCAATTAAGTGGGGCTCTGGGATAGGCTGCGGGGAGTGGGTGGTGGGACCCAAAGGCCTTCTGGCATGAGCACCCCACTGGTTCTGGGCTCCCTCCCTACTCATAGTAGTCCAGCCTTTCCAGAGCCGCCTCCAGCAGGGCTCCCCTCAGTAGCCTCCCGCAGCTGCTTGTGGCTGGTGGGCCTGCCCCGAGCTGGCCCCTGACTCTCTTACGTGTTCTGCAGGATGATGGACCGCTGGACTCCTTGCTGCAGCGCACACCTGTGCCCGAGAGCCCCCCACTCTGCTGTGCTCACACAGATACACCCAGCTGCAAGCATGGGGCATCCCACACGACACAGGCCAACACAATCTCATATCCCCACCCCTCCCAGAGCGTGTCCCACGGCCAGACATGTGCAGACAGCACGTCACACCCTCACACGCCCAGCTCAGCCACACAGCCAGTTACACATTGCCCTCCAAACCACCAGTCTCTGCCCCACACCCACTACCGCTGCCACGCCCTCTCAATCATGCAGGGAAGGGTCTGCCCCTGCCCTGGCACACACAGGCGCCTGCTGCTGACATGCGTATGTGTGTGCTACATACCACACACACACACACACACACACACACACACAGTCATGTGCAAACAGCCCTCCAAAGCCTGTGCCACGGCCAGCTCTTGCCCCAGCCAGAACAAGCCATAGCAGCTCACCGTCTGCCCCGTCCACCTGTCCGTCCGTTCCCTGGAGAAGACACAAGGGTATCTCCATGCTCTGTGGCCAGGTGCCTGCCACCCTCTGGAACTCACGAAAGCTGGCTTTTTTTCCTTTCCCACTCTTTGGGGACAGGAGCCTTCAGGACTGCTGGCCTGGCCCGGCCCATGCTGCTCCTGCCCGTGCTGGGCAGTCACTCTGCCAAGAGCCCTCCCCCAGCAACGCCCTGGCAGGACACAGGCACTTTTCCGATGGGCAAGCCCCAAGGAGGCAGAACGGGGGGTGCCTCTTGGGTGCTGCTGGGGCCTTGGGGCAGGAGTGAAGCGGAGGCGGTGGGGCTGGGCTGAGCCGCAAGGCGGGGGGAAGGGCCCAGCTGCACCCAGGAGACAGCTTTGTTCTTCAGGCCTGTGGGGGAAGTTCCGGGTGCCTTTGTTTTTTATTCTTTTCTAAGAAAAAAAATGATAAAAATCTCAAAGCTGATTTTTCTTGTTATAGAAAAACTAATATAAAAGCATTATCCCTGTCCCTGCAGCCTGTGGCTATGTCTGTGCGTGCTTCCTGCCAGGTGCTGGGCTGGTGCGGGTGGAGGGCGCAGGATACAAGCCCCTCAGCACCCTGGCCAGACCAGCAGGCATCAGTGGAAAGTCCAGTTCTCAGGGCCTCCAGAGTAGCTGCACAGGCAGGGATCCCGGGAGACAGGACAGAGCCTCAGGCGAGGGGGCCTGGAGCTGTGTGCAGATGGCCCACTGGGGAATAGTAGGTGAGGCCTGAACCCGCACACGTGGCCTGTGAGCCCACTGTGCACTCCCAGAGGTGGAGCATCCAAGCAAGGGACCTCCTGGGCTTTGGCCTGTTAAGGGCTCACCTGGAGGGTCATGGCTCACCTTTGCACTGAGGGGCATTACCAGTGGGTCCCGTGCCTTAGAGGAGAGCAAGGGACTGGAGGTAGGCCTGGAAGCTGGAATACAGCTGACTTGAGGGCCAGGTCTCTGCAGACCTTCCCAGGAAAGAGCTCACAGTTGTGCCCTGTGTGCTCTCCACCCCAGTGGGGGCAGAGCTGGGACTGGGAGAAGAAGCCACAGGGAGGTGATACCCAGCTCTGAGCTAAGAACTTCTGACGGGCAGAGCTGCCCCACAGTGGGTAGAAGTGCCCTGGAAGTGACCTGCTGCTGGAGGTGTGTGAGTATGCTCCCATCAAGTCCACTAAAGAGCAGGCTCCTGCCTTGTGTTGGGACAGACTCGATTGCTCAAGGGGTCTTAGAGATGTCACACCAAGAAGGGACTGCTAAGCCTATCCGCATGAAGGTGGGATGACCAATTGCGTGACATCTGACCTCTCCCAGGTGAGGAGGCCTCAGCTAAGGATGGATGCTCTCATGGAGGGCCCCCAGTCCTGCAGTGAAAGGTGGTGTCCTGGGGTCCCACTCTTCCCAGACTCCTCAGACTCCACCCCTGAGAGGAAGGTGGAAGGAGTTTGGGAGTGGGGTGCTGGAAGCAGGTGCCCTCCTGATGCTGAGTGACCCGGGAGAGCCCTGTCCCCTCCCAGGACCTTAGTGTCTTCATGGGCACCATGGTGCAAGCCCCTCCAGACTCCAGAGCTGTGTCTTCTCCCCAAGGCATATCTGGAACAGGCTGTGTGGCCAGGACCCTTCTGTGTGCCCTGCAGGCCTCCTGGAGGCAGCCTGGGGTGGAAGAAAGAGGGGGGCCATCTGGAAATGTCCCTGGGCACGCCCCTCTCTAAAGCAAAGCATTCACCACAGGGAGCCAGACTGGGAAGAAAATCTGTTGCTTCTTTGGGGACCAATCTCAAGGCCCTGCCTGCAGAGCAGAGTCTAGGCTAGGGCAGAGAGATCTGTCCACACTGGACGATGGCCAGCCGCTCTGTGGTGGTTGAGACAGGCTCCTGGGCGGGCTGCTCGTACTGTCTTCTGCATGTGACGGCTCAGACAGGCCTGTCCTTACTGTGGTCACTGGGACAGGCTCCTCTGCACTCTGGCTGCCCACACAGGCCTGTCCACACACTGGCAGCCTGATAGACCTGTCTACACTCCAGCTACACGGTCAAGCTTGTTAGATTCTTGCCACCTGCACAGACCTGTCCATACCCCGGCTGCCCAGACAGGCCTGTCTGCACTCTGGCTGCCCGTATTCATTAGCCCAGTAGCTATTATCACATTTGCTGGCTAGCATAAGGTGTTGGAGCCCACAAGAAGTGAAAAACAAAACACCTTTATTTAGTTATCACTGAATTTGCAAACACAGAAAGGAATAGAAAACCCGACTCCACTTGGACACACAGGCCTTTGGGGAGTTCTGACACCAGGGCCCCACTGGCAGCTCCGCCAGTGCGTTCCGGCTACACCTCCCTCCCGGAGTCCTGGCTTGCCCACGCATCCTGTGGGAGGCTGGTCTGGATGTGCCGAGGGGGACTTTCAGTTCTAGTAAAGACATCCGCCTCCACATCCAAGGAGCTTTGTAAGAGACAAGTGGCAGGACAGGAGGGTGGACGCACTGTGGCCTGGGGAAGGCAGTGGGGCTGGGCCCTGGGCTGCTCCCCGCAGGGAGAGCTGTCTGGCTGAGGCCACCTGTTATGGGGTGAGGCCTGGGGCTGGACACAGCTACAGGCTGCCCTGTCCTCCAAGAGGAGAGGTGGGACTTGAAAGACTTGAGTTAGTGTCTTGACCTTAATGTGAGACCTTGGACAGGTGTTTTCAGCTCTCAGAGCCTCAACTCTGTCATCTGGAAAGTGGGGCCGGATAACCCCTGCCTGCCACCCTCACCGGGCTCACATGGGGAAACTGTCACAGTGGGGCCTCGGGCAGTGCTGGGCTCATCACGCCCTGGTTGGGGCTCCCCCATGCTGCCTTTCCCTTCTTTGAGACTCCATTTTCCATCAAGTGGGGCTAATTCCAGCCTCTCAAGAGTGAGAAGAATATGTGGTTCTGGCCCCTGCCGGCCACTCAGGAGGGTTGGAGAGCTGAGTTCCTGCCTCAGGACCCTGTCCCTGGAGGCCTCGCCCGCCCCTGCTGCACCGCAGGCTCAGACGTTGGTTTCCAGCTCGCTGATCTGGATAGTGCAGTGATCCAGACGCGCAGCGGCCGGCTCCTCGTCCTGCTCCACTTGAACGGGGACGTGGTGGGGGCAGGTGGGGCCCAGGGTGAGCTCCGAGGCCTCAGCCACGCTCTTCACGCAGCCATTCTGCTGGGCTGCCACGATCTCTTGGAGGCTCACTGGCTTGGTCTCTCGGGGCAGCAGCTTCTGGTGAAGGGAAACAGGCCTTGGCAGCATCAGGAAGGACTGAGGTTAGAAACTAGGGAGGACTGAGGTTAGATACTAGGGAGGAATGAGGGTCAGTGTGGCAGAATGGGCTCAGGGCTAGGAACCACGAGATGGATTTTCCTGCAGACATGCTGTGTGACCTCGGCAGGCCGAAGGGCCTCCCTGGGCTCCTGTTCCCAAGCTGTCCTGCCTCCCACTGGAGCTGCCTTAGTAGAGGAGGGGACTCAATCCACAGGTTTGGGTTCAGCTGGGGAATCAGTGGCTCCCCTGCCTGACCTCAGCTTCTTCCCCATGACGTGGGGACAGCCTTCTCCATTTGCCCACAGAAGGAGCCTAAAGCCCACACAGCCTGCACAGACCTACCAGTGTTCACATTGTTGCTAAACTGGACAGGCCATCCCTACACTGGAGTGTAAGTTCCATGAGGGCGGGGAATCTGCTCACATTTTGTTCCCCTGTTCCTCCTGTGTCTATATCAGTGCCAGCCACAGTGGGTGCTCAATAAATAGACGTTAGAGGAATTAGTCACCCTGTAACAGACGAGGAGGCAGAGGCCTAGAGGCGAGGAGGGAGGGATTGGCTGGAGGCTGCCCAGCTGGTTGGTAGAATATCTGGTATCCTGCCCACTCCACCTGGCTCCACCCTCCTGGTGGTCTCTGGACCTCACTGCTCTCACCTCGGTGCCCGTGTCTCGAGCAAAGTCCTTCCGACATATGTGGGCCATGATCCCCGCTGCCAGTGCATCACCCAGCACGTTAATCATGGTGCGGAAACGGTCCCTGGTGAGCCAAGGGGGGCGGTGAGTGGTGGGCACTTGAAGGGGAGCTGGAAGAGGGCAGTGCTCAACCCACTGCAGCAAAGCACGGCTAGTGACCAGCTGTGGTGCAGAGCCTGCAGCCAGGTGGCTTCCTGGCTCCTCCCAAGCCCACCCTTTGGCATTGTTGAAGCAGCTTCTTGGCATGTGGCTGTGGGTTCTACAGGTCCCTATGCTAAAAGGGTCAGGCTTGGTTTAATGCTCTGCTGTTTCTGTGTTGAAATTCTTTATAGGTTTTTTTTTTTTGAGACAGAGTCTAGCTCTGTCACTCAGGCTGGAGTGCAGTGGCACCATCTCGGCTCACTGCAATCTCCATCTCCTGGGTTTGAGTGATTCTTGTGCCTCAGCTACCCTAGTAGGGGGGATTACAGGCACATGCAACCACTCCCAGCTAACTTTTTTTTTCTTTTAGTAGAGATGGGGATCTTGCTATGTTGCCTAGGCTGGTCTCAAATTCCTGGGCTTGAGGAATCCTCCTGCCTCGGCCTCCCAAACTGCTGTGATTTACAGGCATGAGTCATCATGCCTGGTCTTTACAGTTTTTGGACTGGGTTCCACATTTTCATTTTTGAACACTGGACCCTGCAAATTATGCAGCCAGGCCTGTGCTGATGAGTAGGGCACTGCCACAGTGCCTACAGACGCTAGGGAGGATGAGGGTCAGTACAGCAGTGAGACTCCATTTTCCATCAAGTGGGTTAATTCCAGCCTCTCAAAGGTGAGAAGAATGTGTGGTCCTGGCCCCTGTCGGCTGCTTAGGAGGGTTGGAGAGCTGAGTTCCTGCCTTAGGCCCCTGCCCCTGAAGGCCTCGCCCACCTCTGCCTTCTACCCTGGGGAAGGGACTCAGCCCCTCACCCTGATCCCTGCTGCCTTTGAAGCCAGCCCCTCCCAGAGGGATAGAGCTGGGGACAAAGTCTACTCACAGAGCCCAGTCAACTGCAATGATGAGGGTGATGTCGTCGGTGGGGAGTCCCACAGAGGTGAGCACGATGACCATGGTGACCAGCCCGGCCTGGGGGATGCCGGCTGCTCCGATGCTGGCCGCAGTGGCTGTGATACTGCAGGGGTGGGGAGGGGGAGAGGAGCAGCAGGAGGGCGGGTGCCTTGTCAGGGTCTGGCTCCAAGGAGGAGGCTGAATGTCAGGGCCTCTGGGACAGCCATCTGGGGAGGGGTGGTTAGGAATGTTGCGCCAGGGAGCTCTGGGGGTCAGGTCCTTACTCATAGCCCTGCAGCCCCATGCACCCCCATTCCCAGTCTCAGGAGAGCTTCTGGGGAATGTGCAAACACCTGTGTCTGGAGCTACGCCTCTATGGGTTCCAGGAAGTGCTATTGCTATGAGCTGCCAGGGACTCTAACTGCCCACCATGCGGCTCTGCCCCCCTCCCTCTGGGACCTGGCCTCCAGGATCAGGCCTGTGTGCTTGGCTGGCCTGGGAGGC